AATTCCATATTTTTAAAATTTTTATCATATATGATTTTATTATTTTTATAATTTAATAACACACTGTGTGACATATTATAAAATTATGTTACACACATTTCATTACCATGCTTTCAAAGACGCCACTGTTGCTATCACTTATAACATGGTGTTACGCACATTTTACCGTCTATTTTCACAATAATCACGACAACTGACACTACCACCATGTGTAACATTTACACCACCACCACTTTTGGTACCACCACACTTGTAACATTCATTGTTACGGCACCACCACCAGCCCATCACTTATAACATCTATTTTTATAATACCACCACCACCACCGTTGTCGTCATCTCCACTATCGGAAAAAGGATATCACCACCACCCATTCCCGAGATTTGCATTGCACCACCATTGTGAAAGCCCATCGTCTCTTATCAAACTTCACCACGCCCACAATCACCGATAGCATTTTATCTCCACCATTACCATTTTCATCCCCATAGCACCACCACCTTCAATTGAGTTGAGATGTGGTCCAATTTTGCTATTTAATTGACCGTCCAATCTATTAATTCTTAACATATCATCAATTTAGTAGGTTAGTGATGAAGTTCAATTTGAAATGATATGTTAATAATGAATTGTATGGATAGCTAATTGGACAATATATCACTGCTCCCTTTGATCACTAGGATCTACAATGTCTTAGCATAGGTTATTCTCAGAAAAATGGTTGTTGTCCATATTTTTTTACAAATTGATGAGATGATGATAAATTGAATTAAAAATCTCAAAATATTATCATCACATAAATGTTTGTGCTTAGTTCATCTCCAACCCTTTCACCCCAAATCGTGCACCTAATTAAAAATCATCTTCAACCATTACACCAAAACTTACACCAAAATGAACAGTGTTGAATCATTTTCTTCTATTTTTTTATTCCTAATAATTTATTTATTTATTTGTTTTACAAATGCATAAATTACTAAAAAAATAATTACGTTAAATTAACGAAAATATTAAAGTCATTAATAAATATTTAAAAATATAGTACGATTAATAGAAACACTACAAAAAAGAAAATATTAAATCATGCCATTAAAAAATAATACAATACATTTTGAATTTGGATATTATATTATTACAAAAGAGAGTTCAACAACAAGATAAATGATATGAAAGTTCATCTAGTTTGTTTGAAAATTATTTTGACAATGTTGGAGGATCTAGAAACGATATTCCAGATTACTAAATTATTCACTTGTTTTATGTATCGTTTTCTTTAAATAATAATAGAGTATTGTATGTATGTAGTTGTTCTAATATATTTCGTGTTAACTTTAAATAATCGTGTTTGCTATATTTTAAGGTTTTTTTTTTGTGTTGCGGTTTTAATTAATTCAATAATTATTATTTTTTATATTATTAAAATTTATTTTAAATGCATATAATAATAATAATAATAATAATAATAATAATAATAATAATAATAATAATAATCTACACAATAAGTGAGAATCATTTTTTGGACGACTCTATTTTTATTATAATTAAATTTTCAATAATTTCTTAT